AATTCTAATCATATCATCAGTCATGTATGATAAATACTTAAATTCCCCACTTTCTGTTAGTCCATAGGACACACTTCCACCAGCTTGTGATATAGAATGAAGTATAGATTGAGTTTCAGTTGCATCAGAAGATGATTTATTTATTCTTGACTTAATATTGTAAATGTCCCTGGGAAGCAAATCCACATCATGCTGTTGTTCAAGCACTTGCCGGGCCTCAGATGCCTGAATCGTGGTGCAGGACATCAACAGAAGCGTTGTCGCATTTAGTTCCACCTTGCGGTTTTCCGGATACAAGCGGCACATCTGGAAAAAAAATACACAAAGGTTACTTTGCAATAATAAGTATTATGTAAAAAAATATGCTCTGCAAACATTATTATTATTAGTGGTCTTATAAAAGGTTCCCTTTAAGCTGAGCTGCCGCGCAGCCATCTCACAGGCGCTGCGCAGCAGTTTTGAGTATCCGCACAGCAAATTTCATTCTAAGTGTGTGTTTGTGTTTCTGGACTGTAAAATTTTGCACACAAAAAAATTGATGCTGTAAAACTTTGCACATAACTGTATGATTTTGCACACAAAACAACAAACCTTAGAGGGAACATTGGTCTTATATAGTGCGGTACCCCAGCCTAGGGCTGGGCTCACCGCTGTGTACATAAAAATAACTAACCTTCACCTTGGGGATAAATGTTTTGTTTATTATATGTCACAATAATCAAAATTAAGATATAAAACTCTGTTTGGACTATTTAGAATTTATTAAATTTAATTATACTGTTAAATAGATTTGTCTTAATTTTTTTCAAAACCTTTCTATGGTAAGGGTGGTAACCCTAACCTTAACCAAAAGTTTTCAGTGATAAAATTTCTGAGCGCCCTAGATTGAATGGGTTAATGAATGGTATAAAACATTCTTTTAAAATGCATCCATCTAAACTCTATAGTACTAGAGACTAGAGTACCTGTAGGTGACAACAACCTGCCACAAGAATAAGCTATTTATTATTATTATGTAAATATTTTTCGCAGCACATGCACTTACTTCTTTTGATACTTCATGGCCAGTATGTTCATGCATTGATTTGGTAATTTCTAGCCGAGATGGATTTCTCTTGGCAACAAGCTTTATCTTTGCCTGGCATCCCAATTTGAAAGAACTGAAAAATATAAAAATTCTCAACGAATTGCCAAAAGTGGTAAGGGCTAATGTAGAGCACGAATGCCACGGCGTCATTTGCTTCTTTATTATAGTTGCAGTGAATTAGGGTTTAGGTTAGGTTGAGAGGTCGATTTAGGGTTCAGGTTAGGCATAGCATTGTGATCGATTTAGGGATACATTAGTCGCGGCCATCGATAAAATAGTGGCATTCGTCCTCTACATTTACCGTGGTAATAATCATTGGCTTGGAGAAAGAATTATTACATGACAAGACCAACTAAATTTAAAGTTAACCTATTATTATTACTTTATTACTTACGCTTGTGATTTTCTTTGGCTTTGGCCTGTTGTGGTTGAAGATTTTGACTTGCGTTTAAGGCCTTGTGAATTATATATTCACATTTAAGGTGTTCCAAATTGGGATCTTTCATCTTCTCTGACGATCTTTTAGTGAAACACACATTGTGTTCTTTACAAAAATAATTCAATTCGTCTTCAAAAGACGCATAGGTGCCAAAAATGCCGCCAACCTCCATTTTTATAAAAAGAAAGCGCTGCAAACTTGTCGATTATTAAGCCTCTGGTTTGCATCATGGTTTTTTTCGATTACTAAGACTTTCGGGTGCGAATAGTTATTGGCCATGATGGGTACTCGGGTACCTATAGCCACTTCGAATCAGTGAAACTAACCATTCCAATACAGTACAGTCTTTTGATATTTCTTACATGCACTAGCTGGATATATCTTTATATAAAGTGCATTCAAAGGATCAAGATACTAATATTTATTATTGGAAGGGGGATTAGGATGATGCTAGGTGTTAAAAGAAAATATAAAGATATGTGTTTATTATGGCATGTAATTGACTAGGACAGAGGCTCCCAGACTGTGTCCTGCTGCAACCTGAAGTGTTAAAAAATTAATTGACTTAATGCAAGCCATTTATAATTAAGTTGGTATTTTTCACTAGTTCTCCAACCTACTTGGTACTCTGTACTTATTAAAGTAGCAGTTGGTTTTGTGCAGCGTCTATGCTGTATCAATTAAATATTGTTTTGATAGAGTCAAGTGAAGTTAATGAGGTATGTCTTCTTGTATAAGTATAAGGTTTGGTATAAGGTTTCAAAAATTGATTAGATTGTTTAAAAAGTGCTATTTTACAGTGCATATAGAATGTGGCTTAAATATTAGAGCAAATTTGAAAAAACGTGGGTGCTGGATTTTTTCTTGGCCGACGCTCAAGTGGTAGATTACCTATATAACTATATTTAAAATAGAATTAAAAAATACAATAAAATTATAAACATAAACGTATTCTTACTTGCTTTTAGCTTTACGTCAATTTGTTCTTGGTGTTTCTTCAACGCTACCGGTTCATGGAAGTCTTCAAAATATTGGCACATTCCTCGATTGATAGTAAGATTTTCTTACCAACAGGAAGTATCCGTCATAACCGTCACGTGACCAGCCGAATATTATAAAGCCCTCACGTGACCAGCCGGAACCGAATAGCCAATTGCGGCTATAGGTACCCGGGTACCTATAGTCTATAGCCACTCCGATAAGATAAAGACTCCCTCATGGCAGAGCGAGTAGTGCGACAGAAGAGATGCGTATAGAAACGTAAGTGTCTCGTGACCTGTTGGTGTTTGCACCAAATCGTTTGTATTTTTTTTTTTTAGTTGTTGCTGAACAGTAATTGTGCAGCTTGATCTTGATAATTTTAATTTAAACTATTTATCTGTTTAAACCTTTTCATCAATAAATGACTTTTTAAAATTAACCCGCACCAAAATTTTTTCTTAAAATATCAGGCACGAACTTTTATTAAAACTCAGTTTTATAAACAAACCAATTTAAAAAATCTATTATAAAATTAATTTTTTTTTTAAATCGATTAAATTTTTTTTATAAAAATCAAATTTTTTTAAAAATCAAATTAAAAAATCAAATAAGAATCAATTTTAACAAATCAATTTTAAAAATCTAAAAAAAAAATATTTAAAAAAAAACGAAAGAAATCTATTATAAAAATGAATTTTAAAAAACAAAACAATCCTTTCACCCTAACTTCTTCATAAGACAAGTTCCCTCCCTTCTAATGCCATCCTCTTTGAGGACTGACTGGCCAGGTTGGTTTTGTTGACTTCTCAACCCTGCTCAATTATTTCACCACTATTTTCATCTGAACTGGGTCTGTAGAGAAAATGGATATATCGAATTTAGCAAACGTGTTTTTGCAGGACCCAGGTTGAGTAATCATTCATGGAAAATTAAAATGATGCGCCACGTTTAATATTTTTTATTGTCTTTTCTGATGATTAGGACCACAAAAAAATAATTAAAAAATTCATCACTTACATAAAGAACGAAAGAGCCGCCCGAGGGGGGGGGGGTTGGGTTGGGGGCACCCCTCCCCTCCCTACCCTGTTGAATATAAGATAATAATTTAATATGGATAATTTACTATTTTGGCGCTTCCATTATGCTGACACCAACAAGGGGGGTGGGGGTGTCATCCCTTGATACGGCCCTAAAGAAGATTATAGTTTAATTTAAATAAAAATAACTAATTATTTTATTTTTTTTTCAACTGCTGAAAATTTTATTCATGAAAACATCGGCTAGTAGATTAATGATAACGCACATAAACATTTCTGCTTTAAGAGTATGATGTTCGGCGTGTTACCAACATTATAATAACACATGCTATGGTCATTAGATATACAGATAAGTACAATGAGAAAATTGAAGACGAAAATAAATTCAGAGACCTGCCCCATTGACATAATTATTGACAGAGCGATAAGCAGCGATAGTTACAACATCTCAACCATTATTTTAATATTTCTTTGCGACCACGCAAGCGTTTGAAGAGAGTTCTCTTCTTACTTGAAATAACAACAACAACTCATCTACAAGTATTAACTTGGGTGATTTCAATTTTGTACGTACCCATCTAACCGCCAAGATGCTCCCATCTAACTGCCAGGATGTACCCATCTAACTGCCAGGATGTACCCATCTAACCGCCAATATGTTCCCATCTAACTGCCAAGATGTTCCCATCTAACCGCCAAGATGTTCCCATCTAACTGCCAGGATGATGCCATATTACTGCCAACTGTGACGACGTTATCAGCCTATCACTGTTTGCAGTTGGTCTGAAGTGAGACTTCCTAGGAGGTCAACCGCTTCCCTAAATCTGAATCCTCAGCTTCATAGAGTAAGGGACACTATCACTTTGAATAGTGCAATAGATTAATTTATCTTCCGGCTTTGTGGTCAAGGCAAGGTACAAAGTGAATGCTAGCTTTGTGGTCAAGGCAAGGTACAAAGTGAATGCTAGCTTTGTGGTCAAGGCAAGGTACAAAGTGAAATTCAGGCTCTGTGGTCAAGGCAAGGTACAAAGTGAAATTCAGGCTCTGTGGTCAAGGCAAAGTACAAAGTGAAATTCAGGCTCTGTGGTCAAGGCAAAGTACAAAGTGAAATTCAGGCTCTGTGGTCAAGGCAAAGTACAAAGTGAAATTCAGGCTCTGTGGTCAAGGCAAAGTACAAAGTGAAATTCAGGCTCTGTGGTCAAGGCAAAGTACAAAGTGAAATTCAGGCTCTGTGGTCAAGGCAAAGTACAAAGTGAAATTCAGGCTCTGTGGTCAAGGCAAAGTACAAAGTGAAATTCAGGCTCTGTGGTCAAGGCAAGGTACAAAGTGAAATTCAGGCTCTGTGGTCAAGGCAAGGTACAAAGTGAAATTCAGGCTCTGTGGTCAAGGCAAGGTACAAAGTGAAATTCAGACTTTGTACCCGTCAATGATTCAAGCCATTAGAAAACAGCTCCATGGGGTTATAAAGTTTGCATTCCAGAATAAACTAGTAGAGTACGTTCTCCGACAGAATTCAAAATACGACGGTCGTTGCAGGACGTAGATCGGTAATTTCTTTTGTCCATAGGAAGTTGGCCTTGCGTTATATTTGTACGGTAACCCGAGCCGGACGGCACATATTTCATACATTTGTGTGCAACTGGGCGTACAAAGCTAGACGTGTTATTTAAATCCCAACAATGTTTTTAAAGCCCAGGTGATGCCACTAATAATTTCTGAGAGAATGCCCTCTTGATTCTTTGCCTTGGCCTCGCGACATTTCTTCTCAAGTTCTTCCAATTCTTTATCTCGCCTCTCCCATTCCTTCATCAATTCTTCGAAAAATCTCCTCTCTACATCCTTTGCTACTTTTCTTCTCTTCTCTATGTCATTCAGTAGTTTTTCTTCCTCTCTCCTCATTCGTCCCCGATGTTCGTCCTCCAATTTTAACGCCATTATTGAACGCTCGTAATCTTCCTTCTGCCTCGCCATTTCTTCATTGAACATTCTCTCCCTCTTTTCCTGCTCATTTTTCATTCTATCTTTCTCCACTGTTATTGTCCGGGAGAAGTCGATCTCACTGACGATCTGTCTCCGCAGAGTTGAAACGGTCTCCATCAAATCGGGGAGAGCTCCCGATCCCTTGTCCTGGGCGCAGATGCTCTCGTGCAAAAGCTCAGCCCTGTTGAACAACTCATCTAGTTGAGGCTTCATGTCTTCAGGCTCGACGGTGAGTTGAATATTCTTCAGCTTGAACAAAATCAGACTCGTTTCTCTCATGGCCTCCTCTTGTATCATTGGCCTCCTGACGTCTAGGATCAGCGCGTCCCGTGCCGCTTTAGCGTTTTTGAAATGTTCGTCCGTATAGCGATGCCCGTTGGAGGTCAAACGGTCGACCTTGTCAACCAAATCAGATATTTGCTGGTTGATCTTCACACCGTCTTTGGTCTTGTTGTCCATCAAAATGATCCTCTCGCCGCATTCCGCCAACAGCTCACGGAAGACACCGCCCTGCTCATCGCACCACTGCTGGAAGGTCTGTCCGGTTTCGCGGCTCTCTTTCTCGAAATTGTCGCCGTACGCCATGACCAGAATACAATATCTCTTGACGAAACCCTTCCCAAAAACTTTCTTAAGAAACTCAATCGTGTCTCCGTCCTCCGACGTGAAGCGCCCACCAAATTTGACCACCAGGAGAAAGGCATGGTATCCCCGCGGATTGGCGGATATGGCGTACTGCATGGCCTCTATAACACGCGTCGCGGCATGCTCATTTTTCAAACGGGTGTCCCCTACGCCTGGCCCGTCGACGACTTTGATGGTGCGACCGTAAAATTCTGAGAAATCGTAAGACACGCCCGTGGTGACAGAGGTGGCGCTGCTCCTGCTCTCAAACGCGTTTCGTCGTAAGATAAAGTTCCCTAGAGAACTTTTTCCGTTGCCAGTTTTCCCGATCATCAGAAGGTCGAGATCAGCAGGGGATCTTTTCGCATCGCCACTCATTCTTGGTTGAATGTGTTGAAGAGCTGTGGACAATGAAAATAGACACTTATAGTTAAACCACCGGTTCTGTAAGATGTGAATAACAACATGGTGAGCATACTCGCACAAGTACTAAGTCATAAACAACTAATTTTTCCAGGAAAGTGAATTGTCTGTTACAACTTAGCAAACAATATCAAAGATGTTATGTCACATAGAGTGTCGTAAATTACATGTTAATGTCATATTGATTTAATAAAAAAATAACTGCCGGGAATTTTTATTAGTACCGGACCTTCTGGACGTGTATGGCAAATGTAGTACCATTTACAGGTGGGTGGCGTTGAAATACCATTTACAGGTGGGTGGCGTTGAAATACCATTTACAGGTGGGTGGCGTTGAAATACCATTTACAGGTGGGTGGCGTTGAAATACCATTTACAGGAAGGTGGCGTTGAAATACCATTTACAGGTGGGTGGCGTTGAAATACCATTTACAGGAAGGTGGCGTTGAAATACCATTTACAGGTAGGTGGCGTTGAAATACCATTTACAGGGGAATGGCGGATTTAACAGCGGTGTAAAGGCGGGTGGGACATTACAATATTAACATAGTTCAGAGGCGTTAATGAAATATGTGGTTGCGAGCCCGGGGAGGGGGGGGTGGGGGATTCTTATAAAGTGCGTTACTTGTATGCATGTTTTCAGCACAATCCCCCCCAC